GGCCTTAATCGTGCAGGAGACTGAATCCTTTGAGGGTGTGCTGCCCTCTAGTGCTTGGATGCAGTATCTGCACGATGTGCTTCCCTCACTATTAGCTGTCTAACAAATTCTGGTGTCCCCCAGTATAAGGAGGTCTGCTCCAAATATCTTGAGCCTGTTGCAAAACCAAGTCCCGATATGACGGAATCTGATTGTATAAACTACATGCTGTCAGATGGAAATCAGTTCACCTCTAAGGCTGTTGCCAAATTCTGCACCGTTTGCTGCTGTATTCAAAAAGCCCTGCTTAATCGTAAACAACGTTCCGTGCGCCTTGGTGTTTAGTCATGCCGGCCACATGACCACGGAAACGTCTTCGGACAGCGCTGGCTCTTCAGCTTTGAAACGGAGATGAGCACCGCAACCCTAGAGTCGGATTCGACTGGCTTTCGAACAAGGGAACCTTTACCTTCACCTTTAATCGTGTCTTAATCTTAAACTGATCTCTCGACTCATATTTTATGCAATTTTGATTTGGTTGTTTCTTTATGCATTCTTATACATTTTGTGTACTTTTTAAGTCGTTTTTTTTTTTATAACGGCGTGTTTCCGTTGACTTACTGGCTTGATGCCGTAATAAACTATTTATAATTTAGAGTCCAGTGGCACCTTTAAGGCCAACAAAGGTTTATTTAAGGGTATGAGCGTTCGTGTGCAAGGCACACTTTTTCAAATACGTTGGAGTGGAAGGTAAGGTTCAAACGTATAGACCGAGCAAATGAACACGTAAGATGATGAAGATGCTTTAAGATATGCAAAGACAAAACTAAACCGTGAGCTGTTTGTGTTTTTTAAGGACAGACGCTGCAGCCACAGCACTGAGGCACACCTAAGAACAGTGGGCTGAAATAACGGCACAAAAAGGGGTTATCAAACTGGCCCCTCCAAAACACATAACAGCACTTCATGTACAAATTTGATTGTGTGTCAGAATTTTAGATTATGGCTCTGTTGATGCATCTGTGTTTTATTGTATTTATTCTGTTGCATTTTAACTGTCGTAAGCCACCCTGAGCCTGCCCATGCGGGGAGGGCGGGATATAAATCGAAAAAATAAATAAATAAAATAAAAATGGGGTGGGGAATTGGGAACACTGTTTTCATACTTCCAACTCAAACGTATTCCTCAGCCTTTATGAGATCTACCAGCCTGTGTTGTTTCCTGTCCCCATCCACCACTTGTTAACTTGCTTGTAAATTGCCCGGTATAAACTGATGGCCCTGGGTGACCTGAGCACATGATTGTTCTGGAGAACCAGGTTTGATTCCCCACTTCTCCACTTGAAGCAAGCTGGGTGACCTTTGGATCGGTCACAAGTTCTCTCAGAGCTGTTCTCTCAAGGGCAGTCCTCGAAAGAGCTCTCTCAGCCCCAGCTCCCTCACAGGGTGTCTGTTGTGGGGAGAGGAAGGGAAGGAGATTGTAGGCCGCTCTGAGACTCCCGAGTGAAGGGCGGGGTATAAATCCAACTCTTCTTTTTCTTACACATGCTTTCTCCTCTGTGGTCCCCCTCACCTCTCGCTGGCCTGTCTTTCCACAAACTTTGCAAAACTGGATTATCCAAGAGGGCTTTTCTTCACAGGCAATACAGCTGCACCGTACTAGAACAAAGTCACTTGGAAAAATTATTAGGGACTGTGGTCGATACTACTGTGTACAGCTTGCTGAAACGAGGATCCTACTACTGAATTTTTCATCCTTTAAAGTGTCACGTTGGTATTTATGCTTTGCTCCGATTCTGTTTATAGACTTCCGATTGGGTCTAAAACCGTAACTCCTGTTGCATTATTGAACGACCCATCCGTTGGGTTGGATTGCCGATCTGCCTCGAGTCCAAGTGAGAAAGTTGGGCTATAAATTATGTAAATAAAGAAATAGATTTCCTTACATGTCCTCCCTGGTGTCTTTGGTGGCAACCGCAGCATGACTGATCTTTATGTAGCTCCGATTACCTCCGCAAGCGCGGAAGCATTCACGGCGGCTGCAGAGAAAGCAAGGCGGGGATTGCGCTGGAGTGGCCAGGAGAAGCATCCAAAATGGGCATCTTCCCATTCACGCTGTCTGCAAACAGACTTGGGACTGTGATCTTGCCAGAAAGATTATATCCACCCAGATTTGGGGCAAATCGGAACAAAGCAAGATAAAATGGGGAAAGTCGGTGCCAATATCAAGTGGATTCTCCAAAATGGGCATCTTCCCATTCACGCTGTCTGCAAACGAACTTGGGACTCTGATCTTTCCAGAAAGATTATATCCACCCAGATTTGGGGCAAATCAGAACAAAGCAAGATAAAATGGGGAAAGTCGGTGCCAATATCAAGTGGATTCTACAATTATACACCACCACTGAAGTTTAGATGCCAAGCCAGAGAAATCTCCTTGATCGCCATTGTGATGAACTGACCTCCAAAACCAGGATGCTTCCTGCCTCAGATTCAGAGAGCTGGGAGATTAGGGGTTGATGTCTCACTTTAATGCACTTCTGCCTGCACCCCCTGGCTCTCCACTGGTCAGCACCAGCCGAGAGCTTTCTAAAGTCTAGTCAGAGGGAGTCAGTCGTCTCTTGGACTTTATGAGAAGAAGAAGAGATTGGATTTATACCCCACCCTTCACTGCCTAAAGGTGTCTCAAAGCGGCTTACAGACTCCTTTCCCTTCCCCTCCCCACAACAGACACCCTGTGAGGTAGGTGGGGCTGAGAGAGCTCTTGACAGAAACTGCTCTTTTTCAAGAACAGTTCCGACAGAACTACGGCTTGCCCAAGGTCATCCAGCAGGTGCAAGTGGAGGAGTGGGGAATCAAACCCAGTTCTCCCAGATTAGAGTCCGCGCACTTAACCACGACACCAAACTGGCTCTCAAGCCAGTGAGCAGGATTAGGAGCCCTGTATCTGATGTAAGTACACTTAACCAGATAATTTTGAGACCTTACATCAAATACTTAGATATCTGTAATCATAGAAGAATTTTTACCCTATTAACATATAATGCCTTTCCCTCAGCTATATTGGAGGCCAGATTTACTAGATCACTGAGGAAAAGTTGTACATGTGGGTTGGGAACTGATGAAACACTGGAACATGTAATTTTCAATTGTAGTATATATCATCACATTAGGGGAGTTCTGGTTAAGCTTATTGTTAACTCCTACCCAGGTCGCAATAGAAGGATACTTTTGTCAATCATGCTGGCAGGTGGTCATCAAAAGCTAACTACGGTAGGATGGTTGCCAAATTTGGTTGGTTGGCATACCGAACTAGAAAAGAGATACAGAAGTACAGATAGGCCTAGATTTATTTTTAATTTCTGATTTTAATATTAGTTTTACCCCTTTCTGCATTTTAAACTTTTTATATTCCTATTTATAATTTTAGATGCTATTATATCTTATAATTTTACTGTTCTTCAATCAGTTATTTCTCTGCCTCTTATTGTATTGCTTGTTGGTCTATGACCGTAATAATAAAAATTTAGAGAACAGGACTTTGGGTTGGCAGTTGCCAGTCACAAAGACGAAGAAGAAGAGATTAGATTTATACCCCGCCCTTCACTACCCAAAGGTGTCTCAGAGGGGCTTACAAACTCCTTTCCCTTCCTCTCCCCACAACAGACACCCTGGGAGGTAGGTGGGGCTGAGAGAGCGCTTCCGAGAACAGCCCTTGAGAGAACAAATCTGAAAGACCTTGTGACTGACCCAAGGTCACACCAGCAGCTGCACGTGGAGGAGTGGGGAATCAAACCCGGTTCTCCCAGATTAGAGTCCACGCTCCTAACCACTACACCAAAGTGGCGCTCTCTTAAACTGGTGTAAAGCTCTTGACAATTATTTCTAAAATTCATTGCGTATGTATGTTAATGGATGCTGCAGCTATGTAAGTATTTCTATGGTTCAGCCCAGTAGGCTTGTTAGAAACACATTTCAAGCTAGTGTGCTGTCTCTAGTGTAGTCGTTAGAGGAAACAACATGGCCGTTTGTCACATTTTCCTCCTTCCAGCTCCAAGAAAGTTGACTGCCAGGGTAGTGGGACCCATGTCGACTTTCCAACCCACGGCTTCGCCATACTAAGAGAATACACAGCTAATCAAAGCCTTTAAAATGGGTTAAATTTAACTTACGTATTATATACCTTGTGCTTTTTAATAGTCATGAAATAGGACCTTACTATGTTCTTAGCCGTTCAGTCATGTACGACTCTTGGTGATTCTATGGTCCAGCTCTCTCCACGTTTTCCAATCTTGTACTATTTCTTTGAGTTGTTCCATGCTCAGGCTGGTGGCGACTTTTATGTTGTCTAGCCACCGTGTTCTTTGGCGGCCCAGTTTCCTTTTGCCGCTAACCAATCCAAGCATAAATTGCTTTTTCTAGTGAGTTCTTCCACATGACATGGCCGAAATAAGTCAGTTGCAGTTTTATGATTTTTCCTTCCAGTGACTACAAATGTATGTAGTACATGCCAACTTGAAATAAATTATATACGCCAAATAAATGCAGAAAACAGAAACAAAACAATATGGGACCCAGTACAAATCAAGGGTTGTATCAGATTAATTTTCTTTAATAATAGCTAATCGTACAACTGTGAATGTCCTCCTCTCAAAACTGGTTTTGTCCAAAATTAAAGAAACTCCCGACTAATTGTCATCTGCATGAAAACCGCTGTATCTGCAGTTTATAAAATACTGTGCAACTTTACCTAAATCACAGATTTTGTCCGGGACATACTGACAGAAATGGCGTTGGAACGTCAAGGATTCGTGTTCCACAGTATTAATTTCATTTGTAACCGGAGAAAAATATCTTCACGTTATGTATATACACCTCTTAAATAAAAAGGTTTACCATAACATTACATTAAAAAGGAATACCATTACAGATTGTTTAGAGACTACATGCAACCCACTACCTAAAATAGATTTTTTTTAAAACTTCAAATCTGTGTAAATTTTACACTTGTTTTCCCCCCAACAGTGTTTATTGACCAGTGCTTGCGTAAGACAGCTGCACAGTGCCGTGCAATTAATTCCCACTCAGTTTCTTAATGACAGAGCTGCCAGGCGCAGCGTTGGTGAAAATGATTCCTACCACCACGTGTGTCCCCCAGAGATTGTGACGAATAACTCTGCAGTAGCCGAGGTCCTCGATGGAAAATCCTAAATGGCGGTAACGTTCATCGATTTCAAAAAGGGTCTTGTTCATATAAGAGGCAAAAAACTGAAAGCAAAAAGAAGAAACGGGGTATGGGTCATCGTCGTCAACTGCCTTGCTGAACATATTGGGATTTCAATATATTCAATCTATTTGGCTTAAAACCCAAGATTAACAGTACGCCCCTAAGTGGAGGAACATCCTTCTAAGCCGAGTGAAGTTGGTGGACCTCTATTGCGCTGTGCCTGTTTTTAATATTCTGCTTTACTTTTTCTGTTCTCATTGCTCCTTTGGTACTGACATTCCTATGAAGGTGTCACTGAACATGTCTTCTGCAATGGTAAATAATAGTCCGGGCACAATCTTCTGGTGCCTGTGTGCCCATCCCTTAACATGCACCATCCATAACAAATTTCTACATTCCTTGTATATCCATACACCAAGAATTTTTTTTAATGAGATTTGCCAGCCTGTCGTGGGTGGCGGCTAGAAAGGTTCTCTCATGGCCGCCACCGCTCTGGTATGGGACTCCTCGGGAGGGCCCAGAGCACCCCCCCCTTACCCCTTTACACGTTCCTTTTCCAACAGGTTCCTCTTTGTAAGTGACCGAATGAGGCATTAGGAGAACCCAAGCAGAGTAACAAACTAGTTCTACTAAAAAGACTTAACAACAACTGTAATTCAGTAACATATAGGGGAAATGAGCACAGTGAAGGTAGGTAAACCAGCAAAATAAGAAAACCCGAAAGCGTCTGACTGTCCTGTCCCTAGCCTTCTCTACGTCTTTGGCCTCAAGCAGACTTTCACCCCTGTTGGATGAGGGACCCCTCCTCCTGCAGCAGCCTCACACCAGCTCTCCTCAACACCCTCCCACTTTGGGCAAGGCCTTTTATCTCTTCTTCCCAGGCGCCACCCTTTGGTGTAGTGGCTAAGTTGCACGGACTCAGGGCCGGCCCGAGGTGTTTCTGCACCTTAGCGAGGCGCAGATGCCAGCCTCCCGGTGTGGCCTGGAGCGGGGGGGGGG